AAAAAAAAAAAAAAATCCACTGGAAGGGGTGGGGTTCAAGACCAGAGCCCTGGAGCCTAACATGGACAGCGTCACTAAGTAACAGTGATCCTGGCCAATCGCTGCCCCTGATTGATGGCTCGTGCCAGCTGGGCTGTCATCTTCACAGGTGTGGAAGGCCCAAATGAGCACAGGTGACTGGATTCTGAAAAATGACGCGTACGGCTCTACAGAGCCACCTCTGGCCCAAAGGGTCCTCAAGCTCCTCACTGCCAGCTGCCAGGAAACGGCCACGATATAGAAAAGAACAGGGTCTAAGACGTGAAACAGAATCCTAACACCCAACTCAACAACATCAAGGATTCTCGTGCAGTGTATAAGCCTCACAACTACAGGTGGCAGTCCCGGAGTTTGAAATTATTGCTGGGGCGAGGGCGGGGGGCGGCTGTGGGGAGAAGATGGACAGGGAGATGACAGAAGAGCATGAAGTAGAGAACAGTACCTCGTGAGGCTTGTGGGGAGCCCGGGGCCGGGTCCGAGGCGTGGGGCCAGGCTCTCGCCCTTCCCGGCCACCCTGCCCAGACCCTTTGGCATTCTTCCGCACCAAGTGCCGACGCACTCCAGGAACGTCCTCGAACCGGTGGCCTGCGGGAGGCAGAGAAACAGTGTCGGGCTCCCCCTTTCTCTTACGCCCCGTTCCCACCAGCATGGGGCATGGCCCGCGCCCAGCACTCACTCTTCATGAGGTCTAGGTCAGCGGTGGCCAGCGTCTGGGCCTCACTCTCGTCTGTGGGGACTCGGGGCAGCAGAGCCTGCTCAGCCCCAGTCATGCTTCCAATACGCCTCCTCTCCTGCAGGTTGTAGCTTCGGTGCCCAGGCTGCGCTTTGGGCTGGGGGCGCCCGGAAGCTCCCCCGTCGTCACCTCCTGCCGCGCCACTGGCCACAGCCGCCACCTCTTCCGCCGGGGCTCTGGACCGACAGAGCAGCCGTGAGCGGGAGCCACGCAGCAGGATCCTGGGAAGGGGACTCCAACCAGACCTCCTGCTCCCGCTCCCCGCTCTTGGTGGGTATGGGCGTGGAAGAGTGAAGATCCCAGGAGCGGACGCAGCATTTAAATCTGGCCCTACCCTCTCCTGGCCGTGCTGCCGGAGCAATCACACCGGCTCCCTCCAAACATAAACTGCTCAGCAGCAAAAGAGAGCTGGGGCCAGCCTCCTGGGGTGTGGGGCAAGGTGGTGCCGGGAAACGCACCTAGTACGGCGCCCCCGCCCCCACCAAGCACACCCCTCGCCATGGACCCAAACAGGGTCACGCGTTCAAGTTCCTAACCAAATGGAGTCAAGTACGTAAGAACGGGCCTTTAAAAGTATAGACGGCTCCCTGGAGGTCATGAGAACACAAACGCCTTGTCCTTACAGGTGCCAGCTTCTGCTCCTGTCCCCCAAATCAGGATGCCCCCTTCCTCTCTGCCACTGCCAGGGAGCCCAAGCCCTGCCACATCATCCTAAACGGCTCCTCCCCAGCCCCTAGCCCAGGTCCCGAACGAGGCCCTCCCGACAGGCTTTCTCCCCCAGTATCCACCCACCCCTCGCCCCCGGGCTCTCGGTTCTGTCTGCACCCCTGCCCACAAATCTGACCTACTTTTCCAACGCTACGCTCTCTCTGAGGCTCCTCCGCCTCCCACCGGCCCCTGGGCTGCCCGCCAGCTTGTGCCCCCGTGCACACGGCCCATGTGCTGCCTGCAGCCTCAGAGAGTCGTGGAGCACGCCCTTCTGTTCCCCGCAGCCCTTCACACTGCCTGGCACCCAGAAAACAACAGGTCCGTGATAGTGGTGACCTTGAGACCCAGGGCAAAGTGGTTTCCTCCAACAAGCCTTTTCGGGCTGACACCCCCAAACTCCAATCCCCCGCTGATACCGCCTAAATCTGCCCTTCAGCACAGTAACTTTTCTGGTGCCACTTCCCAGGAGCAAAAGGGGCTTCTCCTCGTCTTCTCGCATCTTTGGAGCCCCGGGGGATACTCGGAGGTTACAGATCCAACCCCTGATCCAGTGCTCGCTGCTCTACCCGAAGCCACAGGTGCAGGAGACGCGGGTGGGGGGTGGGGGGCGGCCTTAGCCTGCACACCTGTTCTGTGCCAGGCCAACCCACACTTAACTTTCATTCACACCACCCTTCGATTCCTGCAACCGCCTTGCGAGAGAGGTTCTATTCTTCTGCACACGGAAAGGCTGAGGCTGAGAAAGGTCGTACTTGCCCAAAGGGGGAGGGCTGGGATTTGAGCCCCCAGTCTGAGGATCCTGAGGCTCGTGCTTTTTTCTTCTTTTTTTTTTCCTACAT